AGAAGGGACAAGGAAGGGATATTCACCTCGCTAGACACAGGCAATATGGGTGTAGTGGCCTGCGGGTCGTGGTGCGATTTTCAAGGTCATTCACGGGGCCACAGTCGTCTCGAGAGTTAACCAATATTGCACTACTCGTTAATTACTCCAAACCCGCAGCACTTAACACAGCTAGCACACGTGTCTAGGAATGACAGACAAATTTTCACTCTGTGGACAAATAAATCAGCACAAACTTAATATGTTTATAGATGAACCTCTGGCTTGTTACAGTTAAAAAGCCGTCTCCGAAGGAGTTACCAGGTACTAGCCTTTCAAAACGGAAAACTAATTCCAGTGTTTCACTAGGTATGTCACAACTCACACACAAGAGTTCTAACAACACCGAAGGTACGGCCGGAACACTGTAGAACGTTCACAAAGGCATTCTGGGATTCAGAAGAGATGTAACTGCAGTGTAACTTGACCTTGGCAAGCTGGCTTGGAGTGCTGTTTAGCCTGGATCGGTTAAACTCGCCCTTATCCCATATGTAGATAATGGAGATGAGCTAAGGGATACCGGTGAATAGGAAAGTCGAGGAAGGGACATTCACCTCACTGGACACACGCAGTATGGGTGTAAGTGGCATGCGAGTCTTATAGTGCCATTTTCAAGGTCACCCAGCAGGCCAGACATTCCTCACTCATTTTAAGCCTACGTAGGTACTGATGGTAGCACAATGTCCTAAGTCAGCGTAATCCACTCATGCAAATAGTTACAACAAATCTGCAGCACTTGCGGAACTCAGAGAGTCGAGTACCAGCGGGGCAGCAAAATACACCTCTACACTGCACGTCATTGATAGAGGCGAACGGCTAAGTTTAAAGGAGGAGAGTTGGGGATACAGGAGAACAGCAGGGGTAACTGAGCATGCACATTCGCCTTTCTTCACATAGTCAATATGGGCGAAAGTCTCAGGCAGGTGATGCAGTGCCTCGCTCAAGGTCACAGGCTGAGGCAGACTTCTCAAGAGTTACCAAACACTGCAATACTCGTACAGATTGTTACTCACTCCCAAACTTGCAGAACTTCTAGCACACGTGTCTTGGAGTGAAAGACGAATTTTCAGTGTGTGCACACCTGGGTTACCAACTCACATAGGACTGCACACTCGTCGTCATTCCTCAGGTTGGTAAAGTGATGAGTTGTGAGCATTTTGAGAGGCACGAGTAGCAGTGGACTAGCAAAATTCGCCTCTACACTGTATGTTGATAGAGGCGAAAGGCTGAGGTCAAATGAAAGGCAGAGGGGAAGCAGAGGCCTGTGAGGGCCTTTGCAAAAAGGAAAACTATTTCCAGTGTTTGACTAGGTATATCCTTAGTCACAGCTCGCACATAAGAGTTCTCACAACACTGAAGCTGTCTTCCAACAGTAGGAGTTTTAATGATGACTTATCAGTCGGGAGAAATGGGTAGACCTGTGAATTAGTAGGTCCAGATCCCCAGCACACGTCTACTCCCCTCAACCACTCAGCCGAGACTGGACCTACCCAACTGGCAATAATTTGGGATTTTCCTTTAAGTCTTTTAGGCTTGATGATATGCTCACTTAGAGTCAGATGGGATGGGTCCATGTAGAGAGGTTATCCAAATGATTATGATACTGACCCATTTTTTACAGTGGTGAGTGTCTGATGGAGGTCGGAGCAGCTTAATACCCCCACAAGGTGTACTAAGTAGATCATTGATCAGTTCTTCATTCTGTTCCACTAACACAAAGTGGTGTGTGTTTTTCCTAAATTGGATCCTTGAGTTAGGATGTTTCTTTACAGCTTCCATTAGCCATGCACACTAGCGCACAGGGTAGTTGTATGACACTTAGCAGCAGCAGGGTGTTTGTCTCAGCACCTTAGCAGGCACAGGTTTTCATGCACACTTAGCAGGCTACAAGGTTGTTGTCATGTCACACTTAGCAGGCAGCTAGGGTGTGTCATGCACAGTTAGAGCATCAGGGTGTGTCAGGAAGCTCAGCTTAACCATAATACCTTTGAAGAAAGACTTCTTGCAGCCTGTGTGCAAGTCAAGGTCGGAGTTTCACATTGTCTACGAGTCATAGATAGTCTGACTACGTCGGCCTAGTCCTTTCTTCACTTTTCCTCCTTTGTTTGTTTTAAAGTCTGCTGAAGCTTATCAGCATTTCCCCGGGCCGATACTGTTGTAAAGCGACAGTCTTTCATGGACACTGCGGCAGCGAGGCTCGATATGTGTAAGCTGACACTTTCCTGGACACTGGCGGGGCTCGATACTGTTGCAGACAGGCCTTCTGCACTGGTGCCGGCTCGTACTGTGTAAGCTGACAGTCCTTCTGACACTGGCGCCGGTCTTCGATACTGTTAAGCTGACTTTTCCTGGACACTGTCCCGGCTCGATACTGTGTAAGCTGACACTTTCCTGGACACTGGCGCCGAGCTCGATACTGTGTAAGCTGACAGTCCTTCCTGGACACTGGCGCCGGGCTCGATACTGTGTAAGCTGACAGTCCTTCCTGGACACTGGCGCCGAGCTCGATACTGTGTAAGCTGACACTTTCCTGGACTGGCACCGGGCTCGATACTGTGTAAGCTGACACTTTCCTGGACACTGGCGCCGAGCTCGATACTGTGTAAGCTGACACTTTCCTGGACTGGCACCGGGGTCGATACTGTGTAAGCTGACACTTTCCTGGACTGGCACCGGCTCGATACTGTGTAAGCTGACACTTCCTGACTGGCGCCGGGCTCGATACTGTTGTAAGCTGACACTTTCCTGGACTGGCACCGGGCTCGATACTGTGTAAGCTGACACTTTCTTGGACTGGCACCGGGCTCGATACTGTGTAAGCTGACACTTTCCTGGACTGGCACCGGGCTCGATACTGTGTAAGCTGACACTTTCCTGGACTGGCACCGGGCTCGATACTGTGTAAGCTGACACTTTCCTGGACTGGCACCGGGCTCGATACTGTGTAAACTGACACTTTCCTGGACTGGCGCCGGGCTCGATACTGTGTAAGCTGACACTTTCCTGGACTGGCGCCGGGCTCGATACTGTGTAAGCTGACACTTTCCTGGACTGGCGCCGGGCTCGATACTGTGTAAGCTGACACTTTCCTGGACTGGCGCCGGGCTCGATACTGTGTAAGCTGACACTTTCCTGGACTGGCGCCGGGCTCGATACTGTGTAAGCTGACACTTTCCTGGACTGGCGCCGGGCTCGATACTGTGTAAGCTGACATTTTCCTGGACTGGCGCCGGGCTCGATACTGTGTAAGCTGACACTTTCCTGGACTGGCGCCGGGCTCGATACTGTGTAAGCTGACACTTTCCTGGACTGGCGCCGGGCTCGATACTGTGTAAGCTGACACTTTCCTGGACTGGCGCCGGGCTCGATACTGTGTAAGCTGACACTTTCCTGGACTGGCGCCGGGCTCGATACTGTGTAAGCTGACAGTCCTTCCTGGACACTGGCGCCGGGCTCGATACTGTGTAAGCTGACAGTCCTTCCTGGACACTGGCGCCGAGCTCGATACTGTGTAAGCTGGCACTTTCCTGGACTGGCGCCGGGCTCGATACTGTGTAAGCTGACATTTTCCTGGACTGGCGCCGGGCTCGATACTGTGTAAGCTGACACTCTTCCTGGACTGCGCCGGCTCGATACTGTGTAAGCTGACATTTCCTGGACTGGCGCCGGGCTCGATACTGTGTAAGCTGACACTTTCCTGGACTGGCGCCCGGCTCGATACTGTGTAAGCTGACAGTGACTTTATAAACCTAAACAACGAGAAGGTGAAGTGAGTTGCTGTGTGCACTTGTAACACTTGTTACACTGCTTCAACATTGTTACTGCTGTAACACTTGTTACACGCTGTAACACTTGTTACACTGCTCACTTTACTGACTGTAACACTTGTACATACTGTGTAGACACTTTACACTGGCACGGTACTGTTACACTGCTGTAACACTTGATACACTGCTGGTAACACTTGTTAATGCTGTAACACTTGTATCACCTGCTGTAACACTTGTTACACACTGCTGGATCACTTGTTACAACTGCTGTAAACACTTGTTACCACTGCTGTAAACTTGTTACACTGCTGTACACTTGTTACACCCTGCTTCAATCATTGTGTACTAGCTGTAACACTTGTTACAGCGACTGTAAACTGTACACTGCTGTAACACTTGCTACCTGCTGTAACATTGTTACACTGCTGTAAACACTTGTTACTGTGACACCTCGTACACTGCTGTAACACTTGTTACACTGCTTCACCATTGTTACTGCTGTATACACTTTTACACTGCTGTAACACTTGTTACACTGCTGTAGCACTCTGTTACTGCTGTAACACTGTTACACTGCTGTAACACTTGTTACTGCTGTAACACTTGTTTACACTGCGTGAACACTTGTTAATGCTAACACTTTTACATGGCTGTAACCCTTGTTACTGCTGTAACACTTGTTACACTGCCTGTAACACTTGTTACTGCTGTAAACACTTGTACACTGCTGTAACACTTGTTACTGCTGTAACACTTGTTACACTGCTGTAACACTTGTTACTGCTGTAACACTTGTTACACTGCTGTAACACTTGTTACACTGCTTCAACATTCAATTCAAATTCAAATTCAAAGTTTATTCTCTATAAGGATTACAATGCTGAGTTTACAGAAATTTGGTTATTGTTTGGTTTACATGTAGTAAAATTGTGATTACAGAGTGTACCACTAGAACGCCTAGCATGGCTAGGCATTTCGGGCAGACTTAGTTTAATTCTTAATTGTAAAATATTACAAATTATGAGGTAAGTTGGTATTATGGCTAAGTGACTAAATACTAGTTTATGAGTTTAGCAATGTGAATGCTTTTGTTTTGGCACAGTACATAGTTTCAGTATTGGAGTATCACAGGACTCATTATTTTAAGACTGAGATAATATTTCTGTTTATGGTCAAATGAGTGATGGAGTGTAAGTGTGAACCACCAGGTGGTATTCGTGTAGTTAGTTGACGGGTGTATCAGGGAGATAGATGTTTTCTAATGGTAGTTTTGAAGGTGATGAATGTGTCTGCAGTTCTAGAGTTCTCAGTAGGGTATTCCAGATTTTAGGGCCTTTGACATACATTGAATTTTTGTAAAGGTTTTAGTCGGACACGGGGAATGTCGTAGAGATGTTTGTGTCTGGTGTTATGCCTGTGGTTCTGTCACAACTATCAAGAAGCGTTTTAGGTCAAGGTTGATATTAGAGTTTAAGGCCCTGTAGATGTAGATTGCACAGTAGTAAGTGTGGATGTACTGAACTGGGAGTAAGTTTAGATCTATGAAGAGTGGGGGGTGTGTTGCCAGGGATGGATTTAGTGATTATTCTTACTGCAGCTTTTTGTTGGGTTATTATTGGCTTTAGGTGTGTTGCTGCAGTTGATCCCCAAGCACAAATAGCATAGGTGAGGTATGGATAAATAAGTGAGTGGTATAGTGTGAGAAGGGCATTTTGCGGCACGTAGTATCGTATCTGGAGAGGATCCCAACCGTTTGGATACTTTTTTGGCTATATGCTGGATATGGTGCTGAAATTCAGGTTGTTGTCAAGGTATAAGCCTAGGAATATTCCCCCATTATTTTCTGGTAATTAGAGTGTTGTCAATCTTAATGTTAATTTGTGCATCTCCTGCTCTGCTACCAAACATAATATAGTAGGTTTTGTCAGTGTTAAGCGTAAGTTTATTGGCTTGTCATCCAAGTCGATATTTTAATCAGCTCCTCATTCACAATGGTGTTGAGGGTGGCAAGATTAGGGTGAGAGATGACATAAGTCGTGTCATCAGCAAAGAGAATGGGTTTCAGGTGTTGGGATATGTTTGGAAGGTCATTGATGTATATGAGGAAGAGCAGGGGACCAAGGACACTTCCCTGCGGAACTACAGTATCAAGTGGCCGTGTTGCTGATGCTGTGTCTTTAATGGTGACATACTGATACCTATTAGTAATGTAAGATTTGAAATAAGCAAGCGCATGGCCTCTTATACCGTAGTGATCAAGTTTGTGGAGTAGGATGTCGTGGTCTACTGTGTCAAAAGCTTTTCTTAGGTCAATAAAAATTCCTAGTGGATATTCCTTATTTTCCAATGCTGTGTAAAGCAGATCTAGCATTTTTATGATTGCATCATTAGTGCTTTTATTTTTCCTGAATCCAAAACTGGCAGGGGTTGAGTATTTTTGAGCCGTTATAAATGAATACAGTCTCCTGTGCACGAGTTTCTCAAAGATTTTGGATAGCAATGGTAAGTTAGATATTGGCCTATAGTTGTTTAAGTCTGTAGGTCACCACCTTTATGTATTGGTGTAACCCTTGCCATCTTGAGTAGTTTCGGGAAGGTGCTAGTCTCTATTGACTTGTTAAAAAGTAATGAAATAGCATGCGAAAGGACATGGGCCGCTCGCTTGTACAGTAATGGTGGGACATGAGACAGATTCCCCGAGTTATTTTTAAGTGACTTTATGATCTCAATGACTTCCGTGGGCTCAGTTGGTGCAAGATAGAAGGAATTAGGGAAATTTCCATCTAGGTAGTCCCCGGCATGGGCATTGGTATGTGGGATTTTACTGGCGAGATTAGATCCTATGTTTGAGAAGAAGTCGTTTATCTTGTTAGCTGTGTCAGTGGGATGTGGTGTTTCATTAGGTTTAGTTAGGACAATATCTTTGGCCTGTACATTGCAGTAGTCACTTGTTTTGCACAGAACTGCTTAATGCCTCAAATGACGTAGTGGAAGTTTAGCAGTAAAGTCGGAACCAAACCTAGTCATTGTGGTAGTCTACAAGCCTCCGGATGCAACATCCCAGCAATTCCAGGAACAGCTGTTAAAAATTGACCACTGTCTGGAAAATCTTCCAGCTTCTGCACCAACATCTTGCTCCTGGGTTTCAACTTAAGGCACCTAAAATGGAGGAATATAGCAAATAATATTGTTGCAGTAATAACACCAGGAGGCAGCTCTTATGAAACTCACACTCACACGAGCTTTTAAATCTCTGCACAAAATTCAATTTTAAACCAGCAAATAATAGAGCCTATAAGCTGGAGAATACACTAGACCTCATATTCACTAACAATGATGATCTGATAAGAAATGTCACCATATCAAAAACAATATACTCAGATCACAACATAATGAGGTTCAGACATGTATGCGAGGAGCCCCAGACCGACAAAATGAGACTATCACGAGGGAGCATTCACCAATTCAACTTCAATAACAAAAACATAAAGTGGGACCAAGTAATCCCAGTCCTAACCGATATAAGCTGGGAAGATATACTAAGCAACACAGACCCAAACTTATGCCTAGAACAGATTACTCGGTGGCACTCGATGTGCACAAGGCTTATTCCTCTAAGAAAAAGGAGATAGATGTAAATAGAAAAGACAGGCGCTCCCTTTACAGCGACGGAAAAGAATAACAGAGCGGCTAAAAGAGGTCAATTATCTGAAATGCGCAGGGAGACACGGTCAGAGAAATAGCAAGCATCGAACTTAAGCTAAAAGAATCCTTTAGAGTCAGGAATCGGGAAGAACTAAAAGCTATAAATGAAATCGAAAGAAACCCAAAGTATTTCTTTCCTATGCCAAATCAAAATCGAGAACAACGCCCATATTGGCCCCTACTTATAACAAGATGGGTCCTACACAGATGACAGCAAGGAAATGAGTGAGCACTCAAGTCCCAATATGACTCAGTTTTTAGCAAGCCGCTAACCAGCTGAGAGTCGAAGATCAAAATGAATTTTTTTATGAGAGCCACAAATTTGATTAACACAAGCCTATCCGATGTTATCCTGACCCCAAATGAATTCGAACAGGCGATAAATGACATCCCATGCATCTGCCCCAGGCAGACTCAGGAACTCTGTTCATCAAGAAACTGCAAGAAGCCCCTATCACGAGCCTTTTCCATCCTATGGAGAGGGAGCATGGACACGGGGTCGTCCCTCAGTTACTAAAACAACAGACATAGCCCCACTCCACAAAGGGGCAGTAAAGCAACAGCAAAGAACTACAGACCAATAGCACTAACATCCCATATCATAAAAATCTTGAAAGGGTCCTAAGAAGCAAGATCACCACCCATCTAGAAACCCATCAGTTACACAACCCGGGGGAACATGGGTTTAGAACAGTCGCTCCTGTCTGTCTCAACTACTGGATCACTACGACAAGGTCCTAAATGCACTAGAAGACAAAAAGAATGCAGATGTAATATATACAGACTTTGCAAAAGCCTTCGACAAGTGTGACCATGGCGTAATAGCGCACAAAATGCGCGCTAAAGGAATAACAGGAAAAGTCGGGCGATGGATCTATAATTTCCTCACTAACAGAACACAGAGAGTAGTCGTCAACAGAGTAAAGTCCGAGCAGCTACGATGAAAAGCTCTGTTCCACAAGGCACAGTACTAGCTCCCATCTTGTTTCTCCTCCTCATCCGACATAGACAAGGGTGTCAGCCACAGCACCGTGTCTTCCTTTGCAGATGACACCCGAATCTGCATGACAGTGTCTTCCATTGCAGACACTGCAAGGCTCCAGGCGGACATCAACCAAATCTTTCAGTGGGCTGCAGAAAACAATATGAAGTTCAACGATGAGAAATTCAATTACTCAGATATGGTAAACATGAGGAAATTAAATCTTCATCAGAGTACAAAACAAATTCTGGCCACGAAATAGAGCGAAACACCAACGTCAAAGACCTGGGAGTGATTATGTCGGGGGATCTCACCTTCAAGGACCATAACATTGTATCAATCGCATCTGCTAGAAAAATGACAGGATGATAAAAGAGAACCTTCAAAACTAGGAGGCCAAGCCCATGATGACACTCTTCAGGTCACTTGTTCTATCTAGGCTGGAATATTGCTGCACTCTAACAGCACCTTTCAAGGCAGGTGAAATTGCCGACCTAGAAAATGTACAGAGAACTTTCACGGCGCGCATAACGGAGATAAAACACCTCAATTACTGGAGCGCTTGAGGTTCCTAAACCTGTATTCCCTGGAACGCAGGCGGGAGAGATACATGATTAATATACACCTGGAAAATCCTAGAGGGACTAGTACCGAACTTGCACACGAAAATCACTCACTACGAAAGCAAAAGACTTGCAGACGATGCACCATCCCCCCAATGAAAAGCAGGGTGTCACTAGCACTTAAGAGACCATACAATAAGTGTCAGGGGCCCGAGACTGTTCAACTGCCTCCCAGCACACATAAGGGGGATTACCAACAGACCCCTGGCAGTCTTCAAGCTGGCACTGGACAAGCACCTAAAGTCAGTTCCTGATCAGCCGGGCTGTGGCTCGTACGTTGGTTTGCGTGCAGCCAGCAGCAACAGCCTGGTTGATCAGGCGCTGATCCACCAGGAGGCCTGGTCACAGACTGGGCCGCGGGGGCGTTGACCCCCGAAACTCTCTCCAGGTAAACTCCAGGTTTGTGGGTCCCTAGAACCTGAGAGAGTGTTTTCCAGGTCTTTTTTATATCTCCTCTAGTGTCTGTGAATCTACTGGAGTAGTATAGTTGTTTGGCTTTTTTTATCACTTTGGTGAGAGCTGATGAATAGTGTTTAAGAGTATCTTTGTGTATTAAGCCCTGTCTATATTGCTTTTCATATTGGTGTTTCTTGTCAATGGATTTCAGAATGGTGCTGGTTAGCCAGGGCAACCAAGCCGTTTGTTTGTGATCTGTTTTATTTTTATAGGACAATGTTTTGTTGTATAGTCTAAGTAATTTGTTAAGAAAAATGTC